TAGCAGAAAGAGATTTGTCGTAATAATTTTATAACAATATTTTCAAGATATCAGTTCTACTTTTCGTTTTCGCACCGACGCCCTACGCGTTCGGAGAGGCCAGGCTGACTGGGCATTATGGGCTTGGAGCGATCCTTATTCCCTTCCAGTCCTTTCCCAGCTCAGGGCACCTTCGGCATGCCTCGGGCCAGGGAAAGGGCGCACCCTTCCCTGGCGGTCACGCTTTCCGCGCCCTACAGTGAAACCACGGTTCGGGCTTTCGCAGTCCCGGTTGGCTGAGAGGGTCCAAAGTCCAGTGGCCTGGACGTAGCCAAGTGCAGCGGGTGGGCTTACAATAACAAATTTGATGAAGGTTAACAGTGTGCTAAGCATAAGCTCACTCACTCTTCTGAACAGCCGTTAAGCCAGCAATATTTCTTTTTCAATAATCAGACAACCAAGGCCCAAGAAGGTAAAAGTCACACAGGTAATGACCCCAGCAGCCCCTGAGTACTTCTTCTGAGTAGCAAGAGGCCACGAACCCACCCCAGATACCTTACAGGCCTAGCACCAGGCCACAGGCGGGTAAGACACTGCCATTCCTGTCTTTGAAGCACAGGACACTTGCAGGAAACTCAGAGCAGATGGTTATCAGAGATCCCCAGGAATTCCTGCCCTTTGATGCCTCCCAGGAGCCAGGAATCCAGGCCTTTCACAGTCCAACATCTCCCTAGGGAAGTTCAGGGGGCCTTTGGGGGGAGCACAGAGAAGTGTGGCTGGAATGTGAGCTGAGCATCAGCTTATGTTTGTACAACTTTATCCTTCAGTCCCTGAAGCCCAGCAATGAGCTGCGGAGGGGGTGAGTAATAATAACAGCAATGTCAAGGACTGAGCTAACTTCCATTGTAGTTGACAATGTGCCAGACACAGGGTCTAAGCACTTTGCTTTGCTTATCTCACTGAGCAATCCCAGGGGGCAAGGTACTGTTATTTATTCCCATTTCAGAGAAGAGAAAATAGGGGCAATAGGGAGGACAGGTAACTTAACAAACATCATACAGTTAAGCATGCCTCTTTTGGGTGTGTATGGAGCAGATTTATTAAGGGTATCATTACGTACGGGAAAGCTCACCCTTCCTAGTGTACAGTTTTGAAAAACATATTACAGTCATTTAAGTGCTACCACAGCCAAGAAGTAGAACAACAGTTCTATCACTTGCCCCAACGAAGCCACACTGCTTCTTCCCACTGTGTCCCAGGTAGCATTGGATGCATTTTTACAAAATGAGGGCTGGAGAGGTTTTGGTGCTGCCCAAGGGAACTCAGTAAGTGGCAAATCTGGGATTAGAACCTTCGGATAGCCTGCTAGTCCAGCTGCACGCAGTATAGACTCCTGAGCCTACAGAGCCCAAGGGGCAGCAGGGCCTTGAGGAACACACAGGACAGAGTGGAGGAAGCCCTTGCTCCAAAATCCTCTTACCTCAAACCACACCGCACTTGTACTTAACCAAACTCCCTAGAAGGCTAAGGAATAAAAGAAGGCTTCCTTCTGCCAGGCCCTAAGTGAAGTGAGTGGCAGCTGTGGTGACTAAGAGTTCAGGGTCCCAGTCCAGACCAGAGTGTCCAGTGCCCTGGTGTGCCTCCACCAGCCAGCACAGTTAATGAGTTACTATCCTAGTTAATTCCCCTGCACGTCTGGGCTCCTCAGGTCTGGGCACATGAATTAGCATAGATTACCCAGCTTCCTGGGCTTCTGCACCGCCCCTTACTCACTAGAAACCCCTTGCTCCTTTGAGGGACCACATCATTTGGTGCAGAGGAACTGGCATGCCCTGCTCTCTTCAGGAAGGCAGACACTAGACCCGGCTACTCCCTCTCCGTTGCCCACCTGCTCTGTCCAGTGAGAGCCCCTGGGGCACAGGGGGCTACAGAGGGGGCAGTTTTCAAAAGGTGGGTGGCCTGCAGTGGATGCCTCATGACCTAAGTTAGACCTCTGCTCTGGCCAAGTGACTGTCCTGGGGCAGGATGAAGATAAGTCCAGTCTCCAGACTGTCATTTGCTCCTTAAGGACACTTTCCCACTACCGCCTGGCAAAAGAGGGGAAGGGTTAAGTGAGTACTTAGTGTTCACAGCTGTAAGTTTTAAGACAAGATAACACCCTCTCCATATCACTCACCAGGGACATTTCATAGGGGAAGTGTTCAGACATATACTGAATTCCCCTTGTCCTCAAGGTCAACGACTTTTATTCCCAGTCATTGACTTTCATTCCCCTAGCCACGATCAGTAATGCTAACTGTGCCTGTGCAGTTAACAGCCATTCTCTGCCCTGAAGCACGGCTGGGTCTTTTAGTGGTCCCACTTTGCAACCCTAATGTTTCTGGCCCAGATGGAGGAGCCTGACCCTCTAGCCTTTTCTCAAAGGCTCATAGGTAGGTGTCTTCTACTTGCTGGATCTGGGATCCATAGCCTTTCTAAATCAAGTGTTTCCGGCTTCAGAAACTGGAGAGTGACCCCTAGCTCCACCCTTAGCTTGCTACCTGTCCACAGCCATAAGCCCTCCACCCTTCAGGCTCTCTGTCCCTAGGAGAGGCAGGACCTCTATCCCCACAGCCTAATTGAGGGAAGGATTTCCAATGCTGAGACAATATTTTGAGGGAACAGTTATTCAGGCCCAAGGGAGGTGCATCTTCAAATATATCCCCATCCCAAGGAGCTAGATCTAATGCTCAGAATCTTTGGCCCTGGAAAGAAAGAGGGGGCAAATCAAGGCCACTTGGAACCACGAAGTGTCAATACCAGGCCAGGGCCCCAGTCTAGAGGTGACGTGGCAGAGGTCCAAAGCCTAAAGGAGAGGCGACTTTCTCCCACTGTGAAGGCAAAGCTAAGGTTCACACCTAATACTGTGTGAATATGTGCACCCATGTGCCCTCGGTGGTGTTGGGTGAGCAGTGAAGATGATCTCTGCCAGCTCCCCACTAATCTCCAAAAAATTCCAGAAAACATTGCTCTCAATTCACGTCTTGGCAGAACGGTTTCCTGAAAGAGGTGTTTAGACACCCCCAACACTGAATTTGGAATAAAATGGAGAATTGGACACAAACAAATACACAGCAGATGGAACCAAGGAAGGAAAGGGGATGGCTTGGGAAGTGTGGAGCATGTGCTAAGACTGGACCTCGGGCTGTTGGGTCTGGTGGCCTTGCAGCCTTGCTCACGGTGGACTTCACTCTTCTCCCGACTCCCAATCCACTTCTGCTGGGTCTCACTGTAACCTACTCACCCAATACAGGGATCTCGTCCTTCTTAGGAGAAATAACATGGTCTTGGGAGTAATAGATTCAAAGAACGCTAGATTTTTTATCATTAATTGTAAGCGCACAAAAATACCTGCTGTTACTTCACTTTAGAAGATTGTAATTGGCAAAAAGAAAAAAAAAGAGGCGGCTGATGAATAGATAATAGATCTTTAACCACCAATAAACAGAGAGCAGCGCCAGCAGCCTGGGGGATGTGATCATAATTATGCCGATACGTGAGCCAATGGGGACGAGGGAACTCAGCCCTAAAATCATCCCAAAACCGAAGGCAAGCTCGAAAATGCGGACACGGCCCAGGACTGGAGACTCAAAACGCAGTCTCTAGTTGTGAGTCCTGGGTTTGCACAGCAACTCGCCCCTAGGACAACAGATGGCAGAATAATAATAGAAATAATAATAATAGCAGCGGTAATAACAATGACAACACTATCTAAAATAGCTGCAATGGAACTACAATAATAGAGTAGAACCACACTGGGCTTTCCCCTCACCTTGGGGTCTCCATCCCAGATATTCCAGAAGGAACTATTTGGGGGAAGGAGGTGAGCACCCTTCCAGACAGAAAAACCGAAAGACTGGTAGGCGAGAGAGGGCTGCAGTTGGAAGCCCACAACTCCCTTAGGTTTGGAGGCTTCTGGCTCCCGACTCAACTTGCAAACGAAGGAGCCGAGTCAAGGATCGCTAACGCACAGATCCTGGGACCTCGAGGCTATGCGCGGTTGGAAGGGTGGAAAGACCCTCCCCCACTCACCCCAGGCTCCCTCCTAGCCTAGGAAAACGCTGGGAGTTTTGCCGAGAGTGGAGACCAGTGTAACAGGAAAGCACCTCTAGTCCTCGCTGGGAAGCAGCTCCCGCCCGCTTACCTTCAAGGTGCTCCAGGGGCTATCCTAGTTGCGGGACGCGGGGTGGCGGGTGGCAGCAGTGGCAGAGCTTTAGGCGCGAAGAATCGGTTTGTCCGTTTGTCCGTCTGTCCTATCAGCTTGGGAGCTGCAGGGTCGGGATCCAGGGGGCCGCAGCGGAGGCGGAGCGGGCCGGGACTCTGCGGGGACTTGGGTGCCCCGGAGGGAGTGGTGGTGGTGCTGGTGGTAGTAGAGGAGGAGGCAGTGGCTGAGCGGGAGGAGGTGGGGAAAGAGGAGGAGGAAGAAGAGGAGGAGGAGAAAAAGGAAGAGGAGGAGGAGAAGAAGAAACCGGAGGAAGTGGAGGAGGCGAAAGAGGAGGAGAAGCCGCAGCGGGCGCCGCGGGAGCGAGTGAGCTGGGAGCGCGGGGCGAGGGCGCGGAGAGGCCAGGCGGCCTTGCGGGAGGCGGGAGGCACGGCCCAGGCAGCGGCGCCGACTCCGTTCCACCTCGGCCCAGATCCAGGCCTCCGGGTTCCCAGGCGCTCGCTTCCCTCTGACGCACTTTAAAGAGTCTCCCCCCTTCTACCTCAGGGCGAGTAATAGCGACCAATCATCAAGCCATTTACCAGGCTTCGGAGGAAGCTGTTTATGTGATCCCCGCACTAATTAGGCTCATGAACTAACAAATCGTTTGCACAACTTGTGAAGAAGCGAACACTTCCATGGATTGTCCTTGGACTTAGGGCGCCCTGCCCGCCTTTTGCAGAGGAGAAAAAACTTTTTTTTGCCTCCCCCAAGAAACTTCCCCACCCCTCCTCCCTGCCTCTAACTCTGATCCCCCCACGCCATCTCGCAAAAAAAAAAAAATCACCCCAATCCACGCCTGCAAATTCTTCTGGAAGGATTTTTTCCCCCTCTCTCCAGGTTGGGCGCGTTCGGTGCAAGATTCTCGGGATCCTTGGCTCCCTCTCCCTCCCCCCTCCTCTCCTTTTTCCTTTCCTTTCTTTCTTCCTTTCCTCCCCCCATCCCCCGTCCCCACCCCCACCCCAAACAAACGAGTCCCCAATTCTCCACCGTCCTCGCCGCGGGCTGCGGGCGGCGGAGTCAGCGCGCTGCGGTCGCCGGGAGCTGGGAGCCCTGGGCGCCAGCTCCTCGGCGCAGCATGTTCCAGCCGGCGCCCAAGCGCTGCTTCACCATCGAGTCGCTGGTGGCCAAGGACAGTCCCCTGCCCTCTTCTCGCTCAGAAGACCCCATCCGTCCTGCCGCGCTCAGCTACGCCAACTCCAGCCCCATAAATCCGTTTCTCAACGGCTTTCACTCGGCTGCGGCGGCCGCTGCCGGTAGGGGAGTCTATTCCAACCCGGACTTGGTCTTCGCCGAAGCGGTCTCGCACCCGCCCAACCCCGCTGTGCCAGTGCACCCGGTGCCACCACCGCACGCCCTGGCCGCCCACCCCCTGCCCTCCTCGCACTCGCCACACCCCCTCTTCGCCTCGCAGCAGCGGGACCCGTCCACCTTTTACCCCTGGCTCATCCACCGCTACCGATATCTGGGTCATCGCTTCCAAGGTACGTGCCACGTCGCGGGACTGCAGCGCGCCGCTCCCGCCGAATCCTTCACTACCCCGGCCTGCTCCAGGTGGGCACTTGGGAAGGCTTGCGCTGAGGTTGCTCTGGCTTGTGGGCCAGCGCCCGGTTGGGAAACTGAGCAGCGCGGGGCCCAGGCATGGTGTTGATCCCCAGTCTCCGAAGCAGCGGCCGGTTTGGAGTGCTGGCCTGCGGGCTGCTTGACACTTTGGGAAGGGGTGCAGACTGAGAAGTTGTCCCCGAGTGCGTTCGGGTTGGAGGAGGCTGGGACAGCCTGCTCTGTGTGCCCACCTGCC